ACCCCCTTACACTACAATAATTCCACTAAAGTTTTCTTGTTTTCAGCCCAACTAAGGGCCATGAGGTGGAGGTAGGCCTGGGCTCTCAGAGAAGACACCACTCCGTGGCTGTGACAGAGAAGTTGCGAGCAGATGTCACTACCTCAAGGCCAAGATGTCAGATGGGGAAGTGTGTGCAGCCCAAACACACAAGATGGTGGTTTCAGTCATAAGAAGCACTGACAACACAACTAGGTACTTCCAGGACCACCAGACTTGGAGGTTTTGTCCTCTTCTTTTCCTCACTGAGGCCTTTGTGAGTAGCAAGCTTGAGGGAGTACAGGGTAATAAAGTGCTGTGAGCCACTGTGGGAGCAGTGATATATACTTATACCAACAACAGAGATAAGCACTGGTAGAATAGCAGGGTATGTTGTAGGGTATTGCGAGAATGTGACTTCATTGCATTGCAGTAAGTAGCAGTTCAGTGTTGTTTAAATTTAAAACCAACTTGCACATAATTTGTAAACAGGGGTGTGAAGTAACGAATTACAAATACTCATGTTACTGTAATTAAGTAGTTTTTATCCGAAATTGTACTTTTTTGAGTAGTTTAAAAATTATGTACTTTTATTTGAGTACATTTTAATTGATGTATCTGTACTTTTTCCTCCGCTATTTTCCCTCTGTTTGTGGTCATTACTTGTTACATGCTTGTTTTAATTGTATTTTTATCCATCAGCATGATTAGATAGGGAGAGAGTAATCCGTCTCTTGACTCTCGTCAAATCAAATTGTTCATAGAAAACTTTAACTGCAAACTGCAGATAACAATGGCTGCTGGAAGTGCATTCTTCAAGCATCAATTCAGTCGAGCTAACAGCATCTTCCTCTGATATGTTAAGGTAAATTTCAGATTTCTGCTTAGAGGGCCTGAAATTTGGCGTGTGGTTGTGGATATTGCGTACAATGTTAATTACTCCCGCAAATGTCACGCTCAATGCGGTAAATTCCACTCCCATATACTTCATATAGAGACGTGCATTTGTGTCTTCTTTTGAAAAAGTTTCCCCGGAATTATTTCCCTATTTATTTCATTCAAATTTTTCCTTACAAATTGTATTATCAGCATAACAATTTGAGTAAATGCGTAAAAGGTAGGGGATTATGCCCTCCTTCTAGAACAATGTGCATTTATGTTTAAATTGTAACATTTATTATAATGTTTACAATTTCTTCATCAAAACACTTTTAAATTGGCACCATTTTGGAGAGAAATTGGCTCTTTTTTATCTCTCTTTTTAACCCATCTCATGGTGTGTGATGCTGAACTCTTGTATGAGTTTCTAATGTTTTTGTATTCTTTGTACTGTTCTAAACATTAATATTGTATGTGCTCTGTCGCAGTGGTGTAATGTTGGAGGCATGACAACTGAGTTGAGAATCCATCTGCAGACTTTATTCAGGAGCGTATTCAGAACAGGCAGGGTCAAAACACAAGCAAGCAACAATATCCAGGGCGAGACAAAAGAGAAATCCAAAACAGGCAATAGTCAAGGCAGGCAGCAAACAATGTGATTACATTACAAAAATTACAAAACAGAGGCAAAAGGACAATACACAAACAGGCGATGGTCAGGGTAGGCAGCGAACAGTCACAAAAAAACAGGTAAACAGTCCAAGGAACAAACACGTGAAGGCAAGGCAAGGCAAGGCAGAACATACAAAGACATTATGTAGAAAGTCACCTGACCAAACCCGGAAAACAGGTCTCATCGCTTCCGCTTGTCGGAGAGATTGTTAACAGCCATAATAAATAATAGAAATATCTATGGACTTTTAAGATAATCAGTTACACTAGTATGCTGTTTTTATTGTTGACATTTTATTAATTTTTAATAAGAAAAAAAAAATTACTTTTAGATATCAGTCCGCTTATGTGATGGACATTGGTTATGATAATTTTTGGTATCTACTTTGAAGGCATCTTGAGTAAAACTGGTTCATATTTAACAAAGCATATGCAAAACGAAGCAACGAAACCCAGTTAACAGAATACGGAAGTCTGTTGCGCATAACCCCTATAATCAGCAATGTGTGTGAGTGTGAGTGCAACCTTTATAGTCCTCCTGATATGGAACAGGTGTCAACAGATAATGAATTCCTAGGCAGAGGGAACCTTGGAAATGGAGTCCGGGGTGAATGGCAAAGGTACGGCATGGAGTGCCCTCTAGAGGAGTTCATGGGCACTCCAGCTGGTGATTGTAACAAGCGGCCTTACACCTGATTTTAAATCTATTTTTTCAAACATTATGATTTAAATGGTGATGAGTGTACTGGAAATAACTTTCATCTTTTCATCACTTTAATAGTTTTTCCGTGTTGTTTTGATGCATTTTAAAGGGATCACAGTCAAAATTAAAACTGCTGAATGATGGAAATTCTTCATTCTTTCTGAAAAACAATAAAGGAAAATGTGAATTACAGTATGTATAATGTTTTCTACATTTTTAAATTACAGTCTAGAGTGTTTATTACGAGGGGTAGAATCCACAGCTCAGTATTCACTACTCACTACTCACGAGTACTTTTAAATAAGTTACTCTTTTACTCTACTCACACTACTTGTTTTGGAGTGTAATGGTAATTTTACTTGAGTATATTGTTCAGTACTCTTTCCACCACTGTTTGTAAATAAAAGTGTTTAATAACAGTAGCTCAAGTAGAGAGGAAGAGGAGCATCTAAGAGAATATCCTAATAATCTATGGCCTGTCCCTATGTCCTCTACTACTTCATTTGGTCTCTGGAACTGCCAGTCTGCTGTAAGCTAAGCAGAATTTATTCCTTCTATTGCTACTCATTCCAGTCTCAACCTCATGGCCCTATCTGAGACTTGGATCAAACCCAAGGACATTGCCACTCCTGCAGCCCTCTCCATTAATTTCACTTTTTCCCACACCATTTGCGCAATGGGGAGGGGTGGAGGTACTGGTCTACTTATCTCAAATGAATGGAAATTTGATCTTCTACCATCTATTACAGGCAATAGTTCATTTGAATAACATGCAATTACTATTACCCACCCTGGTCAACTGGGTAACTTCTTGGAGGAGTTGGATGTGTTACTATCAAACTTTCCTGAGGACGGTACTCCTCTGGTACTGCTCGGTGACTTCAACATTTACCTAGAAAAACTCCAGGCTGCTGACTTCAACGCTTTGCTCGCCTCATTTGACCTCAAGTGCATGTCTACTACGGCTACTCACAAATCAGGTAACCAAATGGACCCCATCTACACACGCTATTGCTCCACTGACAACACTTTAGTTACTCCATTACACACCTCAGACCACTTCCTCATCACTTCTAACCTCACACTAACTCTTGACATAGCACACATTCCTCCGCAGGTCACTTTTCGGCGTAACCTACACTCACTCTCTCCATCTCGCCTATCTTCTATGGTTTCATCCTCACTTCCTTCACCCTCTCAGCTTTCAGCACTGGACACAAACAGTGCTACTGACACTCTCTGCTCCACTCTAACATCTTGCTTAGACAACTTTTGCCCCCTTTCATCCAGACCAGCACGTACTACCCCCTCTGCCCCCTTGCTGGAAATGGCGCAAATATAAAAACTCAGCCAACCTTAGTGTGTATCAGTCACTCTTCTCTTCCTTCTCTGCAAATGTCTCCACTGCTAAAACAACATACTACCACAACAAAATTAACAACTGTTCTGACTCTCGCACACTTTACAAAACTTTCTCTTCTCTGTCCTCCTCCCCCTCCTTCATCAACTCTTACAGCTGATTACTTTGCAATATTCTTCATAAATAAAACAAGAAACATCAATGACCAATTCTCCACACCAGAAACTCTCTCTCCTCCTTCTCTCCACTCTCGGAAATGGATGTTTCCAAACTTATCCTTTCCAATCATCCTACTACCTGTCCACTTGATCCTATCCCCACTCACATACTTTAGGCCATTTCTTCTTCAGTCATACCTGCGGTTACTCACATTATCAACACCTCTCTTCACACTTGTACATTTCCCACAGCATTTAAGCAGGCTCGGGTAACCCCACTACTTAAGAAACCCTCTCGAAATCCAGCACTGTTTTGTAATGCTCTCTTGGTGGGCCTTCCCGTATGCACTATCAAGCCTCTGCAACTGATCCAGAATGCAGCAGCAAGAGTGGTCTTTAACGAGCCAAAAAAAGCTCACGTTACACTTCTCTTCATCAGTTTATACTGGCTACCAGTAGCTGCTCGCATCAAATACAAGGTACTGATTTTTGCCTACAAGACAACAACTGGCGCTGCACCAATATACATAAACTTGCTAGTTCAAACTTATGAGCCCTCCAGAAGCTTGCATTCTGTAAGTGAACGATGCCTTGTGTTACCATCCCAAAGAGGCACAAAATCACTATCACAGACCTTTTCCTGGACTGTGCCCAGCTGGTGGCATGACCTCCCGATCTCAATTCGAACAGCTGAGTCTTTGGCCATTTTCAAAAAATGTCTAAAGACACATCTTTTTCGCCAGCACCTGACCAACTAATACTAGCACTTACCTATTATATTCTATTCTGTTCTATTCTATTCCATTATTTAAAAAAAAAAAAAAAACCTAGCTATGTGTACTGTGCTAGATTAACTGAGACTTGTCACAGCACTTGTATACTGTTGCTCTCGCGTTCATCTGATTGCTTCTATTGTTCTCCTCATTTGTAAGTAGCTTTGGATAAAAGTGTCTGCTAAATTATTAAATGTAAATGTAAATGTAAGAGCAGAGCCCCGAGAAAAGAGAGCCATAGAATTGTAAGAGCCATGGGTTGTAACAGGTACAGTATACAAAGTTATTTGTTACTTTTAAACCCTACAAGAGAAACAATCTACAACAATTGTAAATATTTTAAAGCTGATTTATTTTATTTATGACAACTTGTTTACAAGGAAAAAATATTTCCAAAAGTTAGAACTTCAATACATTTTGTCCAAAAAATGTGGCATTTTCAATATGATTGATTGAAACAAAAACCGAAGATTAATCATTCAAATCTGTTCCGAGATAAAGTCATCCTTTGCTTTCTGAAAACAAGAGCTAAAATATGAAGAGGTGCACTGAGAAAAAAAGCATACATTTTAAAAGTTTAAAATCAACAAATATTATTATAGGCAGTTTGTGAAAGATTTGGTGAAGTGTGCCATGTTTCGTATGTTTTGCACTCAACTTTCTATACACAAACAAATGAATTGGTAAGTTGATTTCTCTGAGAAATTGTGGTTACACATTTTTATCAAAACTAAAATTGATGTTAAACTTTAACATTTAAATCTAAATATAATCACAAACCATAAGTTTTTTTTTCCATAGTCCCACATTAAAATAAGTACTACACACTTTTTAATATATGCGAGTATCAGGACCAACACAAGTGCCTTTAGTGTGGTACTTTATATACTCGCTTCATATTTGCAGTGTATACGCATGAAAATCACAAGACAACTTCAGGCTAAAACATTTCATTACAATTCATTACAATTGAACATCATGAAAGCCCATCACCTTAATTAAAACAATACCAATATATACAGTTGTGGTGACAAGTTTACATACACCTTGCAGAATCTGCGAAATTTTCACAATTTGAACAAAATAAGAGGGATCGTAAACATTTGTTACTGTCCTGAGAAGATGTTACTGTCCTGAATATGGTATTTCACATAACAGATGTTTACATATACACCAGAAGACAAAATAATAACTGAATTTATCAAAATGAGCCCGTTCAAAAGTTTGCATATGCTTGATTCTCAATACTGTTACCTGGATGATCCATGACTGTTTTTTCATGAGTCCTTTGTTAGTCCTGAGCAGTTAAACTGACCGCTGCTCTTCAGAAACATCATCCCGCAAGTCCCACAAATTCTTTGGTTATTTTTTCTTCTGCAAAACATGTAAGTATCTTCTGCAGCTTCTGATGGGCCATACTAAATGGAAAAATATGATCTTTGAACAAAATAAGAACATTTTGCACGTTATCATCCCTTTATTTTGTTAAAATTATTAACATTTAGCAGATTCTGCAAGGTGTATGTAAACATGTGACCACACCTGTATATGGTGCCTGCCAAAAGTATTTTGACCCACTGAAAATGTTTTGGTAACACTTTACAATGTTTCATTTGTGAGAATTAGCTAACCACATTAGTGGCCGTGATGAAGTGTGTTCTTCATGTATGCAGGTGTATAGAATGAATACACCAAAGAAAATAATGATTTGTAATTTCAGCGGTGTAAACATGGATCTCCAGAGCAGAGGGGTTGCATTTTTTGGAAGATTGTATGTTTTTAGTTTTTTATTTATTTTGTTAAAACCAACTTTCAAATTATTAATTTTGAGATTTAAGATTTGCTTCACACCGAACAAGAGTTAAATAGTTTATTTTTCAGTAAACTGGTCAAGGGTCTGAATACTTTTGAAAGTCACTATATATAAAATAAGTATATTACAATATCATAATCAATCAATGGCTTATTTGTAAACATTTGGCTTAGATGTGCATTTGGGAACATCAATAAAATCTTCATTCAATGCCTTTGGCCTTCAACTCATCCTTTACTCTCTTCAGGTAGTCAGGGTCTGGATAGCCATAGCTGTGGACAGAAAAATAATAGATATACATGTTCAGATACACTATTTTATTTACATGAAAGCCAAATAAACACGTAATGTTTGATTACTGATTTTGCAGGACATGATGGACAATTGAACACAGACTTTAAATGAAATCATACTTTTGAGGCCCGCCGTGTGTATTGGTCTTATGATGAATATCATTCCAGGTGACAGCGTTCTCTAAACCGGAGGTTGTAGAGGTCCCAACAGTAAAGATCAGTTTCTGATCAAAAGCCCTCTGCAGCAGTGCGAGCACTTCATTTCCTTCACGGTTGTCAGGCAAGTACGCATGTCGTGATGTGCCATGAAAAATGTTTCCCGGGTTTGGATGCCTCTTCTAAAAAAATGATAAATATGATGTATTACTGTGCTATAACCTTAACCAAAACTACATGTAAATCAAAAAATAAATAAATAAATATATATATATCAATAAATAAATTAAACATTTTATACTTTATATTGTGTGTTTGTGTTTTCATTGTTTTTCTGCGTTTTGTGTCCACTCCTTCTCCTGGAGGGCCAATTTTCAGCAAAGTTTAGCTCCAACCTGCTTCAACACATTTGCCTTAAAGTTTCTAGTAATCCCAAAGACCTTGATTAGTTGGGTCAGGTGTGTTTTTGGAGCTAAACTCTGTATGACAGTGACCCCCCAGGAAACGGACTGGACACAGAATAGTTGGTGTTATAAAGCCCAGGTCTTCCAGCCTAGAGGAATGGTTATTGGGATCACACAGTATGTGTAGAGCTTCTGCAAAGTGCTTTGATTTTATATATTGTGATTATTATTAGTAGTAGTAGTATTATTATTATTAATCATAAGTCAATCACAATTCAGTTTTACATATTCTTACCGTTTGAATACCGCTGGATATGTCGTAATATATTTCAATAGTGCCACACTGTGGATATCCAGGTCTTTGAATTGTTGTTCCACTCTTGTTGTCTCTCTTTTAATCATGTCTGTAAATTTATTTGGTCCAAAGAACCGGCAGTTGCTGGCAGACATGGTCAACATCAACTTTGTCTCCTCTAACTGGATGTTACGAATTGCCTCCTTCACAATATCTGAATTCATGTCATTATGATTAATGGTAACATCACTAAAATTAACCACACAATCAGTGACAAGATTCTGAAAGTCCTCCGAGGCTTTGGAGACAGAATCAGGGCTTGAGTTCTGGGTGGATATGAATGAGACTGACACTTCTGCATGCATATTGACTCCATGTTGTTTCTCAATTTTCTCTACCTCCTTTTTGTAAGCATGAAGCATGTACCAGAACTGATGGAGGGGGACAGTAAATCCAGCTGAGGTCTCTGGGTATTTTTCATCCGTTTTAATGGTCTTAGTCTTACTTGGAACATCTGCATCATTATTTTTGTCATCTGATGCAGCAGAAGTCACAGGTTTAGTCTCGTTCACCTAAAAACATATCATGGGATTTTAAGGAGTTGATACCAACAGTGACTTTTACAGTAATTGTGTAAATCCCAGTGTATAAAATATAAATGTAAGCTCTATAAGTTGTCTTCGTTGGCTGCATATATGTGCAGCAATCCTCATGTAATGAGGAAACAAATTACGTTTTAGTGAGTCAAAAACACACAGTAAAACCAGTGTAGCTCAATTTGTGCACAAATGGACTGTTTTCCATGTATTTGTTAATCAGACAATTACTGTTTTTCTGCTAATTCAGAGGCCCTCTGAGAAATCTAATCTTCTAATCGCACTTCTTAAGTCACGACCGCGCAGAAGGTTACATAGAAAGAGTAGAAAAATTTGTGCTAAATGAATCGCTGTAGAAATCGAATACTTTAATGGCTGAGGACAAAATAGCTCAACATGAGAGCCAATGCAAACACAATGACATGTGAAAGAAAACGTCATCATGTTTTAAAGAAGAGTGGTTTGATTAAGTGGTGGAAATAGCGGATGATGTGCACAGAACTCAAACAAAACTCTAATAAAAGATATTTAGTCACACACAGATGTAGTAGTGTGCAAACTCTACTACTCTAAACTCTACTTAGATAACTGTATAAGAATTCACATGCTCACGTTTTTTGAAAACATTTAGCTTACAGATCTGTTAAAATTCTTCAGATTGTTTTCTGTTCTATTCTATTCTATTCTATTCTATCAGTTTAAATGCTTCAGTTTGTTATTATATTATATTATATTATATTATAGTATTATATTATTACAAAGAATTTAACTGTTCTGATTTTTTAAATACATTTTTATAGAATTTCTTGGTAACAAAGCACTGTAAAAAATATTTAAAAAATCTCTGGTAACCTAAAATGTGCATTATTTAGTTACATCAAAGGTCAAATCAAATATAAATAGCACATTAAAGTTAAAAGTTACACAATTGTGTGTGTGTGTGTGTGTGTGTGTGTGTGCGCGCGCGCTGTACAGGTCTAGTATAAAGAATGTTTTTGCTCAAGTGGCCAAAATGTCTGTTCAACAGAGAAAAGTTTTGCTCAGTAAGAAAATAAATAAAGGGAACATAGGATATATACCTTTTTGCCATCTAAACTATGTTATGATGTTTTGTATTTTATTGCTTTTCTTTTATGATGTACGGTGTCCTTGAGTGTTTTGAAAGGCGCCTAAAAATTGAAGGTATTACTATTATTCAAATAATAACAATATTAATAAAATTAAATTAAATAAAAGCAATAAAAAGATATTGAACATAGAAACTATAATAGTAGTAATAATCCTAATTATTTCCTTTAATTTTATGCATTATGTGAATTAGTCACATTTAAGTCATAATTCACCTGAATTATCATTTGACTGACTCTCTCATTCAATCTCGTTTAGCAAAGTGAACTTTATTTTATTATTTATTATTCTTTATTCAAGTCATTTCATCCATTTGAGTGTTGTTAAATGTTATATTTTCAACAGCCTAATTCCCCAAACACATCCATCTACGTAATCTCGATCATAATCCAAATTAAGAAATCATTATAATGCAGTCAAGGATCATTTATGAGGGACATAAATGAGTAGTTTACCTCCCAAGACTTTCATTCATGTCACATGATAGGCACAATGAACAAATCGTTCTTTAATGATCATCACTACTTGAGGGCCAGTTGCCCAGCACTGATCTAGGCTACGTCTACACTAAAAGCACATTTTTTTCTTTACATGTTGGCCTTTCGTCCACACTGAGACAGTGAAAACTGAGCTTTTTGAAGACACTCCCAAGTACAACATTTCATATTGTAGTGTAGACTATGAAAACTGCGATATTTAAAAACGATGACGCATATTTGTGACACATATTGCACTGATTGATATGTTTAATACCGCTATTCACTTTCACACTGTTGCTAAAGATATATCTTACTTTGTGCAATCTTCAAAATACATTCTTGCAAAGATGACAGAAAATTGAGACACATCTTTGATTCACACTGCATTAACAACTCGTTGTTAACTTTGGTTCAGTACACACTGCATAGGATTTTGGTAAATGCGGCTAATTCAGTTGTCATTTCTATAAGTTTCTGAACTGTGGTGATTGATAACCAAATTCAGCTGCAGTGTGTAGCCTCTGTCCTCAAGCCACCCCCTTCCCACCCTTTAAAGACACCCTTATGGTAAAAATCAAGTATTTAATGTTGTTTATGTCTATCTGGGGTTTTTAATATGCTTAAAGTCAAACCATGTGCAAATGTATCAAATTTATCATTGCTGAGTATTTTTTCCTTAAAACTGTGGTGCACCAAAATCAAAAACATGGATTGAAACCACCCGTGTTTCCTACATCACAAACATGTAACTAGTCTTCTCATCGTGCAGGGCGGGGCTTTTCATACCTGCTCAAAGGTTTCTGTTTACAATGTGCTTTTGCAATGTAGCCAATCACAGACATGATGAGTTTTAAGGGATAAAATTAGTGACTGTAGGGTGTCTTTAACTCATTTTCTAGATCCACCCCTGGTTCTCGAAGCAATCAATACCTTAAAAAGTAAACTTGATACCTTTGATGATGGATTTCTGTTCGTGTCCGACGTGGAGGTGTTTTGTGATACAGTCACAGAATGTTCTTCATCCAGAAAAATCTGCGCAGTCGCATCCTTATTTTCATGTTTAAAATGCAAATATACAGTCCCATGATTTTCTAAAGTTTCTAGAGCTATAGAGAAAAATATATTTAAAATATAAAAGTCCACTAAGTGAAATCAATCAGAAGAAACCATTCAACAGCAAGAAATCATTTTGTTTAGTGTTTTCACTTGAATATAGTGAACAGCAGAAAAGCAATAGCGAGAGTCTCTCTGACAGAGCTGTGAGCGATGCCTGTTTCACATGATCTGTCTGCAGTATTTATTTTTTTTCCAGGTTAACAGATTAGAGCATTCACACTGCATTCACACTGCACACACACACACACAGACACGGTGGGGCAGATGCATTGCAGATGCAGTGATCGTCTCCATTCTGAAACTATTGTTGTTGCACAGCAAGCACTGAATCACAGCACATGTTCGTGGTCAAAATGAACATGGATTGACACAAAAAAAAAATTTATTTTCGCCATAAATGCAGTTATTTTTTTGGTTTGAACTGGCCTTAACAGTTAGCGTTATTTGTAACTTTAAAATTAACATTTTACTTAATACTTCACTCATTACTTGACTTGAAATGTCATCTGTAATATGTGTTTCTAGTAATGTATTACCACCAACACTAGTATTTGTCTTTGTGTAATATAACAATACTAAAAAAAAAAAACTTAATGTATTTTAGCTATTTATATATAGATACTATCATCTACAAGATTTAAACTGAAAAGGGCATTAAAGTGAATTATCATAAATCATCTCACCCGTTGATGGTGTAATCTGCACCTGTGCCCATGATTGATCATCCATGAGTTGAATGCTGTGGACAGATGGTGCTCCTTCCAGTTTGGACAACCATCTCTGAATGGCCATCTCTAAGTTTTTACTCCATTTATCTGGAAATGGTTCTTTCCAGTGCACTTTGATTTTCAAGTTGGCAATATCCAGTGGTGCTGAGGGTTGTGATTGGGTTGTGTTTATATCACCATTTTTACAAATGGCCTGTTATAGGAAAAATCATAATGAATGCAGAGTCATATTTCTATATGAAAAATTAACTATACTCACTCATAGCCGAGTTATGTTTAAAAACTATTTTATGATGAAGAATAGCAAATGCAGACAATAAACTAAACCATAACAAAAATTTTATGTTTTCATATTTTATATTGTTTCTATTATAAATTCATTTAATTTCATAATTTTTAATTGGACAGCTGGCTACAATTATAAAGAAATATCAAAGTGCTTTGACTCCTATCGAATTCATTTAAATCAGACACTGTAGCACATCATCGGGAGCAAAAGTATTGAGGGAGGGAAAGACCTGGAGAGTTATACGGTCTAAACTCTAAAATGATGTGAATGATAATGTGTTTATATGTAGGAACAAAAATCATTGTGTTAATTAACACATGTTAATGTGTTCATTCTTCTTAATTCTATGCACTGGCATTTAATCAGTCATATAAACATAATTACTGATATTCTGGTGACAATGTCCCTCAGAAAATCTATGGCTCAAGCTCTGCTCTTTAGTCAGTACCTCCTCTGGCTGTGAGTCTGATTTGTTTGTTGTGATATCCTGATGCTTCTGTTCATCCAGAGATGATCTAGAGTCTTGACCTTCAACACGGCTTGATGGTAAATTCTAAAAACAAGAAACACCATGTTAAAAATAATTTTAATGATATATTTTAAGTCTACAAAACAATTCGTTTAATATTTTTCAAATCAATATCTGTCACAAAGGGTTGCAGGAAGACGAGGAAGAATCAGATTCAGAACAGATTAAATAATATCCACAGGTCAATCTAAACAAAGGAATGCATGCAAACACAAACATAACAGACAAGAAAAGACAAATGAGAACTGAAAACACAGGCACTTATATACACAGATCAAACAAGGTCATTAATAATGAACAGCTATCAAATCAGTGACCATGGTGAAAATGGCAAACAAAACATAACTGAACCGAGACAATATGAACAGAAGAGAGGTTTTGGATTTTGTGTACCTTAGAATCAACAAAAGGTTTTTATTGTTATTTATTTATTTATGTATTTATTTAAATTTTTTAGTATCTTTTACATTCACATTTGGCAGATACTTTCTAAAGCAACTTACAGGTACACATGCAGGTGAATTCTAGGCGTACATTGTATCAGTTCTTGTAAACCCATAACCAAAGCCATGTGCCGTTGTTTTAGCTATAGGATCGTGAAGAGAGTTGCAAACGAGATTACACCTCAAACATGTTATTGTCATATCTGTGACTGAGCGGGTTATTCCACCACATGATGGAGTTCGTCCAACAAACCACTATCTATGAAGTGATTTCATCTTGATTTTCAAGTGGTTCCCAAACGTTTTCATTCCAGGACACACTTAGACAAGTACAATCTATCCCAAGACCCACCTAAATAATTTTAAAGGGAATATGGGGGAGAAAGTGATTTATATATATATATATATATACAGTGGGTATAGAAAAGAATCAGGAATTTATGACAAAGGCTACGTTCACACTGCGAGCCTTAGTGCTCAATTCCAATTTTTGCTCAGATCCGATTTTTGCCGATTCCAGTGTGAACAGATCATGGTTCTGAACTGAGGACATAAAGTAAACCGATTATGCATTTATTTATAGTGTGATCTGCCGCAGAGGCCAACGGAAGTATGCACAGGCAATATGAAATATAAAGACAAAGATGTGACAGAAGAGAGCAGAGTTTTTAAACTTTTATGATACAAGCCCTTGTGTTGTGCTTGTAGAGTTGTCACTGTAGTACTTTTGAGTTCTGGCACATCACTGTACTTCCACTGACTACCTTTCGCAACTGTCTTGATAACTTTGGGTGTGTAAAATCTTAGAAGTGACTCCCATGAGTGCGACGAATGTTGATCTAGAGTGACGTAAAAGTCGCATGAATTCCGATATGACTGTTCACACTGCAAAACATCTGACCTGAGTCGGATTTAGTGCCACATATGGAAGTGGCACAAATCAGAATTGAAAAGATCAGATTCCATGGGGTTTGTGCTGCTCACACTGTCATGAGTAAATCAGATCTGAGTCACAAGTGAGCAAAAAAATTGGATTTGGGCCACATTTGCCTGCAGTGTGAACATAGCAGTGGTCATTGTGTGCACGTGAAGATTCTGAGCCCACGTGGGAAAAGGTGTTATGGTCAGATGAGACTAAAATTAAATTATTTGGCCTCAACACCAAACGATATGTCTGGCAGAAATCCAATACAGCTCAGCATCCAAATAACAGCATTCCTCCAGTAAAGCATGGAGGCGGTGATGTCCTGTTATGGGAGAGTTTCTCTGCAGCAGGCACTGGAGCACTTGTCAGGATAAGAGGAAAAATTATGGGGCAAAATACTGTCAAATTCTTGAGGAAAATCGGCTGCCTTCTGGCAGAAAGTTCTCAATGGAAAGAAGGTTTACCTTCCAACATGACAATGACCCAAAGCACACAGCAAAACTGAGCACACAGTGGTTGAAGGAGAAAAAGGTGAATGTGCTTGCATGGCCTTCAGAGCCCAGACTTAAACCCCACTGAAAATCTGAGGAAGGACTTGAAGACTGCAGTCCACCAACGCTACCATCAGATTTATCTGAACTTTAATATTTTCATGAGGCACATCACTGTACTTCCACTGACTACCTTTCGCAACTGTCTTGATAACTTTGGGTGTGTAAAATCTTAGAAGTGACTCCCATGAGTGCGACGAATGTTGATCTAGAGTGACGTAAAAGTCGCATGAATTCCGATATGACTGTTCACACTGCAAAACATCTGACCTGAGTCGGATTTAGTGCCACATATGGAAGTGGCACAAATCAGAATTGAAAAGATCAGATTCCATGGGGTTTGTGCTGCTCACACTGTCATGAGTAAATCAGATCTGAGTCACAAGTGAGCAAAAAAATTGGATTTGGGCCACATTTGCCTGCAGTGTGAACATAGCAGTGGTCATTGTGTGCACGTGAAGATTCTGAGCCCACGTGGGAAAAGGTGTTATGGTCAGATGAGACTAAAATTAAATTATTTGGCCTCAACACCAAACGATATGTCTGGCAGAAATGCAATACAGCTCAGCATCCAAATAACAGCATTCCTCCAGTAAAGCATGGAGGCGGTGATGTCCTGTTATGGGAGAGTTTCTCTGCAGCAGGCACTGGAGCACTTGTCAGGATAAGAGGAAAAATTATGGGGCAAAATACTGTCGAGGAAAATAGGAAAATCGGCTGCCTTCTGGCAGAAAGTTCTCAATGGAAAGAAGGTTTACCTTCCAACATGACAATGAACACAGCAAAACAGCAAAACTGAGCACACAGTGGTTGAAGGAGAAAAAGGTGAATGTGCTTGCATGGCCTTCAGAGCCCAGACTTAAACCCCACTGAAAATCTGAGGAAGGACTTGAAGACTGCAGTCCACCAACGCTACCATCAGATTTATCTGAACTTTAATATTTTCATGATGCCACAGAAGAACCTTTTTGTCTAAATGGTTCCATAAAGAACCTGAAGAACCTTTCTGTTTCACAAAAGCTTCTTTGTTGTGAAAGAAGGTTCTTCAGATTATAAAAAGGTAAGAAAGAGATGGTTCTTTAAAGAACCTTTGACTGAATGGTTCTTTGTGGAACCAAAAATGGTTATTTTATGGCATCGCTTGAAGAACCTTTTGAAGCACCTTTATTTTTAAGAGTGTATAACCTATTGTGCACTTGGATTGAAATAAATAAATATATCTTCTGATTAAGGACAGATTTAGATAAGGGTCAGATGCACTATTCCCTATACTTAAGAAGTGGAGACCAAATATAACACTATAATGAATTTCCCATATTTGTCATAACATTACTACATTATATTCTATGGGTTTAATGCATTTGCAGACAATGTAATTACATGTAACTGTCATATAATTGTATATTCACTGTTTGAGAATGCCATTGAATGTGTAGCTATAGAGTTTTCATGAAAAAAAAATCTAACTAAAATAGAACTGAAAACAAACACTGGATAAAAAAAAAAACTCCCAATAAATGTCCAAACAGTGATTCTATCAGAGCATTTATTGTGTTATATCTTGCATCATTTACGTCTATTTTTGCATTTGATGTTGATTTGATTGGAATTGTTACTATTGCCATCATACCGACTGAGAATTTATTGCAATTATTTTAAATTCAGTTGAGGTATCTGACATATTATGACATAACATTGATCTTTTATATGAAGTCTTTAGAGCCATAGGCTATAATATGTTGTTTTTACATCAATTGCTCAGAGACCAACCAGTTGGACAGAGGTTATAGGCTATGTACAAATCATCCAAGCACCCAATTCAGCCATTTCTAATATAGGCCACATCTCATTAACATTGCTAAATATTATTAAACTGGAAATAAATTAAAGATCCATCTCTGATTGTCAAAAGAATTCCAGGTTCAGTTCCCTCTCAGCCAATTAGATTTCACATAGTATTTTCATCAGTCAGTTGTGGAGGTCTGATTGTTGAAAGCTTTATTTATATAGTGCCTTTTAAAAGTGTTTACAAAGTATTTTACAGAGAGATGCATATGCGCAATCACAGAAAAGACAATAAACAATACAATAAAAAACAAGGAAAGGCCTTTAGTGAAAAAAATCAGTTTTCTTTTGACAACGTTTAATTCAGGTGCGAAAAGAATGAATATCTAGCGCATGAGCACAGAGAGATTTGCGAGTGCACAGGACACAGTTTGAGTGAGAGGAGAGACACGTTTTAAGTGCGCGCACACTCTCTGGGCGAGAGCAGCGAGTATCTGATTTATATTAATGTGCTTTCGCGCTACAATAATGCGCTCTCGACATTTGTCATTAAAATAACACCATAAATTTGAGCAGTTCTGCCGAGAAGTGTGGACAAATATTGCAAAGTCTAGATGTGCAAAGTTAGTAGAGACAAATCCCAACAGACTAAAGGCTGTAATTAAAGCAAAAGGTGCTTCAACAAAATATAAAATACTGACACAAAGGGGTGTCCCTTCAGGACATCTACAACACCCGTCTCACCCGCAAAGCCCTCTGCATTGCAGGTGATCCCACCCACCCGACACACAGCTTCTTCAGTCTGCTGCCATCAGGGAGGAGACTGCGGAGTCTCCAGGCCAGGACCAGCAGACTGAAGGACAGCTTCATCCATCAGGCTGTCAGGAAGCTGAACTCCCTCCCGACCTTGCCCCCCCCTCCCCTCTTTTGCCCCACGCACCACTGAACTCTGACCCTCTGACGGACTCTCCCACTCCCCCCTCCCAAATACTCACACACACACACTGTCACTTTAATCAGTCTGAATAAGCTCTTTTGCACTACAAATCATTTTTTTGCACTACAATCATTATATCTGCACTGTTGTTTACTTTACTGGTTTGCACTCTATCTGCCATATGCCTTGTGCTATATATATTTTTACATCTTATTTGTATATTTGTATAGTTGTATTTTGTATTTAACTTTCACTGAGCATATTGCATGGTCTGCCTTATTAATTTCTAAACGAGCAACCATAATCAAGCTTTAAACTAAGCATCATGAGTAACAGTCTTGCATTCTCATGCAGGAGAAAAATACTACGCATATAAGCAGTAGAATTTACGCAACTGTATTTATAAAGCTGCAACAACAAGCAGTCTAGTGTATGTAATCGCCGTGAGGACACACAGACAAGCTACAAACATGAGAACAGGTTTAAATGAAATAAGCATTTGTACTTGTATACACTTCAACCGGGGTTCACAATATTTAGCTGCGTAACCTCAATGTCACATTCATTTATTTAATACATATGAATTCTCTCATTATAAACAACAAAGTGCAGATGTACGTGTGATGTAAGTATAAGAGATTTAATCATCACATAGTATAGATTCACTGAGTTTAACAGGAGTGGTTTTAAAGTGCATAAACTCACGCTAGACTGAGCTTGTGATGATGTTCTTTGGTAATGTAATGTTTTTTGCTCGTTTTCTGTAGCTGCTTTTTGAATAACTGAGGAAATGTAAGCATTATAATTAGTGACTTACGATGTTTCTATTCATTTGTTATCATGTTAAATACAAATTCAGTCATATTTAAAAACATTAGGCTGCTTTTAGCCTTACGCTGGAGTTGGTTCACTTTCTCGCAATGAAACTAAGTAAATAATTACATAAATTAGCACGATAATATTGTGTATCGGCGATCTCACAAGCTGACGATAAGACAATATGAAAATTGAGCATATCGCCCAACACTAGCTTGTATTTTCCGTTTCTGTGTCTCCTGCTTTATGGGGGTTATTTCATGTATGTTATATGTGCAGCAGCAGTATTTCTTACATGCTCACAGCAGCATGTCTGTGGCTGTATTGGCAGTAGCAAGTCTCGGTAATTGCTCTGCAGCAGCAGAAGCTTAGAAGATCTATTCTGCCAAGACTAACACGTTAACACTGCCATGTATATTACCATGCTAAACTCTCAGAGAGTTGTCATGACAGAAAAGGGATAGTTCACCCAAAATGAAAATTAGCTATTAATTTACTCATCTTCAGGCCATCCATTGCTCTCATTGGTTGGATCGTTTCATGTGACGCCTTTGTTTGATGATATATATATATATATATATATAGCCCTCATGTTTCATTGTCCATTGTTTAGCTTTGTTTGTGTAATCCACTGTTTGGTGAGTTTGTTTGTGTTTTTGCCAAGCCAAGTCTTATTCATTTTGTTTCTGCTCACTTTTGGATTTTATTAAGCTGCACATGGGTTCTCATTCAACTTGCCTCCAGTGGACGTTTGTTACAGTTTCATATCACTATTGGCTGCTTTAATAATATAATTGCCTATACGTTACATCATTGCATGATTAAATAAACTGGTGAATCAGGTTTTTGAACCAATTCATTAAAACGAACTTTCCAAAAGAACCAGTTTGTGGAAAAGAATCAGACTTCCCCATGTGCCTGAGGCTGTGGATTACAGGTAATAATGTTATGCAAATAATGTTTCTTGCAAAGACTGATCATTTCACTGAAGGCCCATGGGTATTAATTTTGTTTCCCTGATATGCTTATTTTTCACTCTCAGAGTAATGGTAGCCTTTGATTTGCATATTATATCACCAATGACCACTGTTACTGTTCTACTGAAGAAAACAAGTCACCCATACCTTGGATGGCCTGAGGATGAGTAAATTCACAGCAAATTGATATTCTATAAAATGTTTATGAAAATCTATTAGAAAACTTTATATTAGAAATCTATTAGAACTTAGAAAATCTATGGCTCAAGCTCTGCTCTTTAGTCCATACCTTCTCTGGCTCTGGCTGTGATTGGTTTGTTTGACCCGATGTGATGGTTTGATGCTTCTTGTGATCCGGAGGAAGTCTAGAGTCTTGACTTTCAGCACCTGCTGCACTGAAGCCCTAATGTCCACATAAAAAAATAATTAAATAAATAAGAAGAATATTCTCTGTTTTAATATCAATACAATTAATAACTGCTTTCTGTGAGGGCAAGTAACTCAGCAACACGTTGAGACACCTATGTCTGTGCATATCTGCAACACCTTATTTTATAATATAAATGTAGGTTAAATAAATATGTCAGGATAATTCACTCACACCAGTAGTTGACAACTGTGTATGACACTGAAGGCAATACATATCAATATTCAGTATCGACTGATATATCAAACATGGGCAGTGAACTGTTCCCATGGCTAAAATATAATTATTTTGTGAACAACATTGCACAGTGACTGGTACTCACCTGATCATTAGATTGTTTTATCTGAGCAGGTGAGATCTGTTGAATAAAGAATAATGTTCTATATATATTAATATAAGTACAATATATAATTGCCATTGTAATTTGTTCTAACTGACTGCCACAAACCTACAACCCTTCTCGTTATGTCATAAATATATTTTTCTGTTTATTAGCTTGATTGCAATCACGTGATTCTGATGACACATGAAATTCAGATGGAGGGCAGGAAGTGACAAGCAGAATGGATGAGATGGAGGAAAGTCCATACTGTACTGGTTTAGACACTATTCAACAGGAAGGTATAAACAGAAAATCACAACATATGTTGTACATAAGGACGTGATCCTTATGTAATGAAGAGGAGCACATTTTCAACTAAACTGAAATACTTTCCTGCCATCGGGGCGGTGGATATAGGCTAAGTAACTCACCCTGATGGCAAACAAGCGATTTCAAAAGTGAATCCCGCATTTAAATGAGTGATGCGGGATATCCTGAAACTGTGCTGCATGTACAGGGTATGTAGCCATTGGTCCTGTTAGCAGCATGTAAAATGAAAATCTGGAATCCGAGGGTCCAAAAAAATCTAAATATTGAGAAAATCATCTTTAAAGTTGTTCAAATTAAGTTCTTAGCAATACATATTACTAATCAAAAATTAAGTTTTGATATATCTACTGTAGGAATTTTACTAAATATCTTTATGTAACATTATCTTTACTTAATTTCCTAATGATTTTTGGCATAAAAGAATAAAAATGTTTGACCCATACAATGTATTTTTGGCCATTGCAACAAATATACCCCAGCGACTTAAGACCAGGGTCACATATCTTATTTCCATCGTGTCTATGTGTGAATTCTGAGTGTCACATGCTGAATGCATGAGAGTTGTCAGCCCTGTATCTATTTATATATTTCTGTGTTAATATTTTAAAGGGGTCATATGATGTGATTTTAATTTGTCCTTTCTCTTTGGAGTGTTACAAGCTCTTGATGCATAAAGAAGATCTGTATAGCTGCAAAGACTAAAGTCTCAAATCCAAAGAGATATTCTTTATAAAAGTTAAGACTTGTCCACGCCCTCCTAAAACGGCTCGTTCTAACACGCCCCCACATGTCTACGTCACTATGTGGGAAGATTTGCATAATGCTGCCCAAATGTTCACGCAAAGAAAGAAGGCATAACTTTTATTCTCGCTGTAGTATTGTTGCTGCCGCATGTTGTGAATACGCTGTGTGTTTTGTTGTGAAAGCGAAACTACTTTGTTTGGTCTTCCAAAAGAGGGCGATATTCGCTTCGTCATGCCTGGAGCTGATCCGTGCTGGTCGCTGAGGAAATACTACAACTTTGCGCTGTGGATCGCCGGATCGGCTTTCACCGTGGATGAAGCGGAGCCCAGCCCGGGGTCGTCACATGTGGTTGCCACAAGCCCGCCGGACGCTCACTCTAGCCCGCCGTGTGTGACGCTGTGTGATGCATTTTATGGAGGACTGTTTCCTGAACCTGCAGAGTAGCTGTAGAAAAACTGTATTGGACATTACATGTATTGGACACTAATTTTACGGTAGTATACCGTTTTTGGAAGTGAAAAAGAAATAAGTATAATTTACAGTGAATAACCGTAAATTGACATTCCCACAATTCCCTGCGTTACATTTCAAATTTGATGTTTTCTTGTTGAAATAACTATGTTTCTTCTTAGTTTTTTCTTATCAGTTTTGTATATTAGGGTTGTGTGTTACACCTAATGTTGTTAAATGAATGTTTATTGCATTATTTCAGTGTCATGTGTGTTACCGTGATGGTGTTTAGTGTTTGTGTGAATGACACACTGTGCACCTTCTATATATGTGTTAGTATTTAAAAGCTGCTTGTGATGGGCTTTGGTTCATCATGTGACTTTCTCATCATCATCTGCATTTGGTGGTTATCAGTGTATTACAAAGATACAAAACAGATTTCAGTACTTCAGTAGGTTGGTATATTAACATTATATCAGTTAATTAAATTTCGGTATTTAACTGGATAGCTGGCCAATCACAGCACACCTCGCTTTTCAGACCGATGAGCTTTGTAAAAATCGACGCGTTTCAGAAAGGCGGTGCATAGAGGAGAAACAATAATGTACAGTATGTGGAAAATAATGTGTTTTTTTAAACCTTAAACCGCATAAACACATTTCATTACACCAAATACACAACATAATGTTATTTTTAGCATCGTCATATGACCCCTTTAATATATTATTATATCTTATATTAACCATTTGCACACACAAGCATTATCTGTCTCGGCTCCTCCCGGGACACTTTTTCCTGCATTTTTCAGTCAATTTCTTGTCTTTTCCCCCCTTTTGAACAACATATTTTCATACACGATAAAAGCTCCTTGTGGTTTACGGTTGAGCATCCGTAAACAATTAAAAACATAGCCATATTGAGTTTCTGCTAGCGATTCCTTTAGAAAATTCACTTCCTGTCCTCCAGCTGCATTTCACGCCACAGCAGTGACCTTATGTGCAAACAACCTGTGGGAGCCAAGTCATTATCACAAAACTCTCTGCAATATTGAACTAAAGTAAACAAACAAATATAAGATAATTGATATTCTATAAAATATTTATGACTCTTAGAAAATCTATGGCTCAAGCTCTGCTCTTTAGTCCATACCTTCTCTGGCTCTGGCTGTGATTGGTTTGTTTGACCCGATGTGATGGTTTGATGCTTCTTGTGATCCGGAGGATGTCTAGAGTCTTGACTTTCAGCACCTGCTGCACTGAAGCCCTAATGTACACATAAAAAAATAATTAAATAAATAAGAAGAATATTCTCTGTTTTAATATCAATACAATTAATAACTGCTTTCTGTGAGGGCAAGTAACTCAGCAACACGTTGAGACACCTATGTCTGTGCATATCTGCAACACCTTATTTTATAATATAAATGTAGGTTAAATAAATATGTCAGGATAATTCCCTCACACCAGTAGTTGACAACTGTGTATGACACTGAAGGCAATACATATCGATATTCAGTATCGACTGATATATCAAACATGGGCAGTGAACTGTTCCCATGTCTAAAATATAATTATTTTGTGAGCATCGTTATAAAAATGGCTTGATGACATATATTATTTAATCATTAATTGAATTATTCATTATTTCTCATAATCATTCTAGATAAGACCTATTAAATATGCGTTTAGTGGCCCATGCCACCAATAAATAAATAAACAAATAAATAAAACAAACCTCCAACATCTACATTTTGAGAGGAAATTATTGATCCTGAACAAATATTGTTTTTACTTTTGTTGATTGGATGAAACTCCAGTTGTTTCATCTTTTGTAGGACAACAGGTAAAGAAAATATTTCTCAGTGATTTTAGTCATAAATAATAGAAAACAAAAGAGGGAACATAATCAAGCCTAATCCAATTTAGCGCTGTCTCTGTGATGCCATTCTAAAGTAGCTACACTCTTAAAAATAAAGGTGCTTCAAAAGGTTCTTCAAGCGATGCCATAGAAGAACCATTTTTGGTTCCACAAAGAACCATTCAGTCAAAGGTTCTTTAACGAACCATCTCTTTCTTACCTTTTTATAATCTGAAGAACCTTCTTTCACCACAAAGAAGCTTTTGTGAAACAGAAAGGTTCTTCAGATGTTAAAGGTTCTTTATGGAACCATTTAGACAAAAAGGTTCTTCTATGGCATCGTGAAGCACCTTTATTTTTAAGAGTGTATGTGTTGTAAATGAGCAAATGTAGATCAATATTTACCTTATTATCATGTCCAATGTTTCTGAGAGGTTGTTGAGTGATTACACGTTCACCGGTACCCTGAGAGAGTGAGAATATTACCCAGTTTGTGGAATTACAATAAATGTCTTTTTAACTTTTTTTTTTTAAAGAACTTTTTCATACATATTTAATTTATTAAAATCATAAAATAAAAGTCATTAAAAAAGTAATTTTTCTATCAAAGACATAAAAAATTGCTACCTCATAAAATAGATAACACACACACACACACTCATATATATATAGTTATATACTGTATATATATTTCACTTGATGTGACTCACCTGAGCATTAGAACCCTGACTTACATCCTCCATATCTTGATCAACACTGTTTGAGATATTGATGGGCTGTGGATTTCCCTAATATTATTATCAACAAAAACAATAAGAGGCATGGTCATTTATTCGCACTTGCCACAAACCAAGAACAACCATTCTCAATAAATCTTAAATGTATTTTGCTATTTAATGGCAGCTGACCATGTTTGTGAAAACCATTTTGTGGTGACCACTTGTTTTACCATTTTTTTTAATTGTGTACCTATATTACATTAACCCTTTATGCCCTGAAGGCATTTTTGCCTCCCTGAAGGTGTTGCTTTTTCTGAGTGACATACAGTACACAAAAATAATAACTCATAACTCCAAACGTGTAACAAGAAGAGTCGAAAGGTATGTATCGTCTGATAGAAAACGTTCTGTAGTTTTAGTTTCCCCATCATGTTAACTGTATATGTTACACATTTCGTGGCGATATCATAAAGCATCCAAAACGTACATAATTTTGGAACAAAAGAGGCCTTTTTGTTTAGCCCTTGACACCCTGAAGGCATTTTAAAAACTGTTGTTTTCTGAGTGACATACACAAAAGTAAATAACTCCAAACCCGTAGCAAGGCGAGTCAAAAGGTATGTATTGCTTGATAGAAATGTGTCTGTATTTTTAGGGGGAAGAAAACCTTTACATTTGGACATTCTCCTTCTGAGAAATATGTGATCAAATGTCAGGAAAAATTTGTGTGCTCAAAGGAAATTTTACATATTTGACATTCAATATCTTAGGAAATAAGGTTGGAGAATTTTTTTTTTTTTTTGGTGATGTTCCCCAACATGTGAGCTGTGTGTAAACTAAATTGTTGTGGTGATATCATGAAGTAATCCAAAGTTACAGCATTTGGAACCAAGGTAGCCTTTTTCTTAGCCCTTGAAAGCTTGTTTTATTCTACTCAGTGAGACCTTTTAAATGACATATGCCACATAACTATCTGAGCTGTATGATGTTTTTTTGACATAGAGTACATGGCACAAAAAAAAACATATTTTGCAAATCATAAATATTAATATATTCAAAGATAAATGCTAAAGTTACTCTGTGACTCACATATTCCTCACAATCCATTCCATCATCCGACTGTCCCTCTGACATGACTGTGGGAAAATCTCCAAACACCAGCTGAAAGAAAACTTTAGGTTTGATTAATAGCTTATAATATACAAATAAATATTACAACTGAGCGTTTTAAGTTTGTAAACAAATGCTCCAAGTAGCTAAGCAATGCTTAAGTGTGCTCCGAAAACTGTAAGTGCTCAAAATGCTTTAGCAAATCGTTATTGTTCAAATGTAAAAGATTACATTTGAAATCACTTTGAAATCGAAAATTGAAATCACTTTGAAAAGTAGGAAATCTTGCTTAACACCGAGAGAGAGAGAGAGAAATGGCAAACTTTTAAAAATGAACACTAAAGTGTAGGCCTAGATGTTAAATCATAAAGTTGTCAATTGCTCGATCTGTCAGCATTTTATACTTTATGTAGTTATTCCTAAAGTTGTCTTAAAGGGGTCATATGATGCGATTTCAATGTTTCCTTTCTCTTTGGAGTGTTACAAGCTCTTGGTGCATAAAGAAGATCTGTGAAGTTGCAAAGACTAAAGTCTCAAATCCAAAGAGATATTCTTTATAAAAGTTAAGAGTCAACCACACCCACCTAAAACGCCTCGTTTAAACACGCCCCCACATATCTACCTCACGATGTGGGAAGATTTGCATAACGCCACCCAAATGTTCACGCAAAGAAAGAAGGTGTAACTTTTATTCTCGCTGTAGTATTGTTGCTGCTGCCGCCATGCCGTGAAGACGCTGTGTGCTTCGTTGTGAAAGCGGAACAGTTTAACCCAAATATTCAGATGTGTGCAGCACATTTTATGGAGGACGAGGACTGTTTCCAGGGAGAGTAGCCTACAATGCTGGTGTTCTGACAAATAATGCTGACTCACAGCCTGTAAAGTATGTTTTCATATTTAAGGGATTTGCCACTGATGATTCAAACTGAGTTTTGAGCAGTGTAGAGCAGTGCTAGTTGTTTGTCGTTTCTCTGATCACAAATGCAGACATGGTTTTATGTTTACGCGGCGCGATGCAACGCAACACGTAAAAAGACAGAATAAGTCATTCAGTAAGTATGTCCCCACTGGATGCAAGGAATGCCTCGTTTATAATGGGTTTTAATGTTTTTGTCTCTGTAACATTTCCGTCACACGCTTGAGGTATTCGGCCAATCACAACGCACTGGATAGCTGGCCAATCAGAGCACACCTCGCTTTTCAGACCGATGAGCTTTGTAAAAATCTACGCGTTTCAGAAAGGCGGGGCATAGAGGAGAAACAATAATGTACAGTATGTGGAAAATAATGTGTTTTTTAACCTTAAACCGCATAAACACATTTCATTACACCAAATACACAACATAATGTTATTTTTAGCAACATCATATGACCCCTTTAAAGACTGAAGCGACTGAAGAGAAATGCGTTTAGTTTCATTTTCGTTTCGTACAAAACGCACACACACCGGTTTAAAGATTTAATTTCATTTTGATCGGTCTTGAAGATGAATGCCCGTCTTCACACATATGTGTTCGCATTAAGCTTCTTCTTTGGACAGCAGATGGTTTGTTCAAAATGACGGTCTAGAGATTTGCAGAGCAGTTCCAGACTTTTACTGTCGACAATGACAACTTTTACTGACACAGCCTACTTTTTTTCGACAGTAATGTCGAAACATTAAAGAGCAAATAAAAGGACAAATCTGCCCCTTAATCTTGCACTTACCGGAAAGCGAGAGCTTCGTCAAGAGTGAGCTGTCGACTTCTGAACTGCGCGGTTCAACCTGATGCCCTGCTTTTCAGCCGAAGCTAACGAAAGCGAAAGTTGCTGGAGGACACGAGACTGCACATGACAACAATCCAATATACTGTGCTAAAACTGTTCATTTCACATCTGTGCAGGCTAATACATTTGCTGTAGCATGTGTTTTTCTCATGCATTAACATCCACATGCCATCTGTACAGAACACACACCCTCACAGCACACATGCAGCTCAAAGATAACACAAGTCCTGTGTTCAGTTAAACACTATCCTTCTGCATTAGGCTAAGTTCAACCATGTTCAACCCACTTTGCATTGTTACAGTGTTGGTGACATATGTAAAAGAGCAATGTTTATTTTTTCTCAGTTTATTGGTCAGCAAAACTCTACAGCATGATGCAAAACACAGCATACTGTCATTTTGATGATTTTTTTGTCATTTTATCAAAACTCGTCATTTCATTTTGCGTCTGAGTGTTGCTTACAAATAAAAGTGGACATATAGGTACACATAACATAAAGAATTGTTGAATAAAGTTTGCAAATTGCACATAAATAGTATTCTCATGGCTTCTTAAAATGAAGGTTGAACCACTGAAGTCACATGGGCTATTTTAGCGATGTCCTTACGACCCTTGTGGGCCTTGAACGTGGTAGTTACCTTGCTGTCTATGCAGGCTCAGAAAGCTCTCGGATTTCATCAAACATAACTTCATTTGTGTTCCAAAGATGAACGAAGGTCTTACGGGTTTGGAACGACATGAGGGTGAGTAATTAATGACAGAATTTTCATTTTTGGGTGAACTATCCCTTTAAGTCTCCGCAAGTGAGCATCCTGAGATAGAAACAGGAAAGCAAAAGGAGAAAGATTAGCATAGCTGCTGTTCATATTATTTCAGACAAAAGATGATTTATTTCATCACATATAACTGCAGTGCAAGGCTATGAGATGTGTTGTGTGAATACTTGGCTAAAACGATGTATTTTTTCATCTAATTTAAACTAAAAGAGTGTGTCTGAGTTCCAATCATTATCATGAAAGCTAGTTCAAAGTCTAGGAGTAAATACAAATAAAGCTCTACTTCCTTTAGTGGACTTTGATATCATTACAGGTCAAGTACCATAGGTGCTGTTGCCCCTATTTTTGCTTATTTTGCTATTATCTGGTTTAATCACAATTATTATCAATGTCTTTAATTATCAGTTATCACAAGTTAGAGTAAATATTTCTGTTTCAAATAAATCTGTACCTTTTAAAAACATTTCATTCATCAGAGCAGCACAACTGTTCTTAGCAGCAAATCATTAAAAATGCATAGAAAACAGTTATTTTAAATTGTATTAATTTCACAACTCATTATTACTGTTTTACTGTATTATTAATCAAATACATGAAGCTGTGGTGGGCAGAAGAGACTTTCAAAAACATTAAAAAAAGCATACCAATCCCAAACTTATGAAATAGTGGTGTATGTTTGAGATGTTTTAGTCTTATGGTTCATAGCACCTTGGAGATGCTGTCTGACGGGAGGTTCGCTGGGCTGCAGCAGGAAGAATCCAGGAACAAAACAAGCAATTTATCACAGAGACAACCATATTTAGTATGCAGTTCCAGGTGTATTAGAAGGAAACAAGCTAGAGGTAAATTGCAGGGGGGGGGAAATAAATAATATCCTCCTGAATACCAGAATCTTTTTTTTTTTTGTGGTAAATTTAGTATTTTTTTCATGTAATTACATTGTTTAGAGCTTAAGAAAAAAATTTGATTTTTTTTTTTTGAAAAATGATATTTCATTCATGTTATGCTATGCAAAAATAAAAAGACATAAACAGGGTGACCGTGATTTCACCAAGTACAACTTGTTCCTGGATCAACATCCATGAAAAGGCAAAAACAGTGGGATTTTTTTTTAAATCACCAATCAATTTTTATTTGTTATATACCAAACTTTGTATAAGGATGATTCTCAACTATGTAATGAAAGATATAACAGAATGATTTAATATACCATTTTCCTTTATGCAATATGTGTGTAAAATGGCCATGAACAGGTTTTCCCATTATATACAATGTATCTACACACGGTATCTAATTTGCATATTAATGTGTTTTTGGGGCAACCTGTAACGAAAATAATAATAATTATTATTATTATTAATAATAATAATTTCTTAAGATAGCAGAATTTATGTTTTTAGGTTTAGGTTGAGTGTCACTTATGTTTGGATGTCAAAGCCTTCTTAAAAATAACTGTAATTAAACTATATATAGAGAGAATTTAGCATTAGAAAATAACAGATGCATGGTGGCATGGGTGAAATATATTGTGAAAATGCATATGAAGTTGTTTAATGAGCTTTCTCAGCTCTTAAAGGGTATTTAACCAATTGCTAATATTGCTCATATTTCGAAAACACTCAGGAAAGTTAACGATATGTTGAATTTATTCCTTGGCTTGGACTAATATGGGGAAGCACATGACTAATGAAGAATTTCAACAGCACCTTTTCCTCATTCTCTAGCTGAGAAAATATCCAGAAGGTAGAAACATATTGTGGGGGTTTATATAGCAGGGCATATAAACTTTGCATTGCCGTTGCATAGATGGATTATAACTGAAAGTGTTAGAATGTGTTGTTCCAATGATACAGATAATTCATTTTGCAAACAAACAATAAATTAATTAAAAAGAAAGAAAGAAAAAATTACTGTACAAGTTTTAATATTTACTACAATGTCATGAGACCTTCCAGTCCACTTCATCTGTGGCATTTCATTACTAATGTAATCAAAAGGTTATGTACTGTAATTTATTTGTATTAAATTATAGATATGCAAATGTTTTTCTTTTAATTTTAAGTATAATTATTAGTGTAGTTCTCATAATGTGATAAAGATTCTATGAGCTGTTTGACTAGAAGACTTGATGTTAGTTATGTGTGTTCATCAACAGCTAGCATACACTCGTTAAATAACACATTTTACAGTGATGGGATAAAGTAATGATCCATTCTGACTAACTCTCCTGTTCATGGTACAGCATTAGAAGATCAAGACTTAGATATTAGAGGTCATTGTCTGTCAAACATATTTTGTTTTTGTACTGTAATCGTTGTGGAAATCGTTCTACTCTGTTGATCCCCTCCATTTTGTTATAATTTAGTCGGTGTCTGAATAGACCAAATTAACATTAAAATAACACGCATGATACCTTTTTCACGGTCCTGACTACAGAGAGACTGAATAGAGCTGCTGAGAACATCTTTGGTCTTTTGATCTTTGGACAGTTAAATTGCTGTTATCATAAAAAAATGTCGCAATGCACCAGTAATAAGATATACGACAACAACTGAGTGGTGAAATAGTGTACATAGACCTCTGAGAAGAGCAAGAGATGATTACAGAAATGATTAGCTGAATGGGCTCTATTCAGAGGTGTAAAGTAGTTGAGCAATTGTACTTCACTATTATTTGGTAATTTGTACTTTACTCAGGAAACTGACGTCATCCATGTCACATACCTACATTCATGTGAATAAGCTAGCAGCTAGCAGTTACTTTATCCATGATTAGGTTAAGGCTAATACACTGACATGAAGTTAACAAAAACACTTGATATTAAGTTAACTAATGTAATCTAGAAAGCTTGTAGTAAAGCTTACAAACTTTCTTTACTTGCACGCTGGACTGGTTGCATGCTGAGCGTGCCTCAACAATTAAGGTAACTTCTATTTGTCACGGATCTGCTGGTGTGCCCTAGTTGGCCACCAGATGTCTCTCTGTGTTTGTTTGAGCACATGGCTTTTTGTGTGTGTGTTGGTGCCATGACCCTGCCCGTCTTGTCACCTCATTATTGTTTCAGTTTCTCCACCTGTGTCGCCCTCATTACCCTCCTCGTTAGTCTCCCTATTTATTCTCCTGGGGGGTATTCCAAAAAGCAGGTTATGTGACATACCTGGGTATGAGCACATGGCTTTTTGTGTGTGTGTTGGTGCCATGACCCTGCCCGTCTTGTCACCTCATTATTGTTTCAGTTTCTCCACCTGTGTCGCCCTCATTACCCTCCTCGTTAGTCTCCCTATTTATTCTTCAGGGGGGTATTCCAAAAAGCAGGTTATGTGACATACCCGGGTATGTTTGAGGATAAGCGAGCGGATAACCTCAGCTTTCGGTTCCAAAATCGGAGGTTACTTTCAGGGTATGTAAGTAACCATAGCAACTTGCTCTCTGACGATAACCTGCTCCGGAGCAGCTTCTGTTCCCGGGTTAGTTTACTTCAGCGCTATCAGCGCAGGTGTGATCTACTGACGAGCCTTCAGTGGGCGTGACAGATAGCGCACAACATTATATAATATTACAATATGTAATATAGCCTATTATATATAGATATTTATATTTATTTTTTTGTATGATATGTTAATGATGAAGCGCTAATATAAGGTAATATATTATTCTAATATGGTTTTATTTTATTGGTATATATAAGAGTTATCTGTATAAATTATAAAACACTATGACAAGGTAATGTTTAATTTATTATATTATATTTATTACATTTTATATTATCATCTCACACATGGATCGGCATTTTCTATAATGTCTAAATTCTAAATCAAAATACATATCTGATATGACTTAATATATAATTAGCATCAAACAAACAACATAATTAATATTCTCAATGATTAAAGATTAAACGGAAAAATAAAAATGATTGCACAACCATCAATTAGGTGGCGATATGCACTAAGCATGTAAACGAACATTGAACAAAAGAAGAAAGAAACAGCATGGTGCGCTTTTTCTTAGCGTCCGTTTCCATAGTGACTCGTCGATTCGTCGCTCTGTTGAGAATGTCTTGTGTCTTAACCAGGAACATACTCTTGAGTTGAATGAACTTACTCCCGGATGCGTTTTTGGAACCACATACCTCGAGTAAGCAAGGTTTGGGGTTAATCAACCGAAAGTTCAGGGTATAGCTGACGGTAAGTTAACCGTGCTTTCTGGAATACACCCCTGGTGTCTGCAGTCCTGTGCTGTTTCACGTTTTGTCAGTGAGTATTCATCGTGTGTGAGTAACCCCTCTTTCCAAGGTACTACTCGCATCCACTCCGAGCAGTACTTGAACACGGGTCTCCAGCATGGGAGGCGGGCACACTAACAAGGAGGCTAAAGACTCTAGCGTCAGTTGCTAGTGTGCCTCTTGAGATCAGGGGAG